TAAATTTTTGTTTAGACAAATAACCAGGGATGCATTGGTTGACCAAGCGGGTGTCTTTAATGTTAGACACTGGGGAAATGGATCGTTGCAGCTATCAGTGATGTTAACCGGTTTACAGTTAAATGAAAAACTGTAAAAAAAAAAAACAACAAAGTGAAAACAGAATTGAAAATACTGCATCACCAATATTTGATCTGCTTTTTGAGTCAGGATCAGATTGATAGCTGATCCAAATATCAAATCAGTGCATCGCTATGATGAAAAATGTAAATTGTGAAATGTTTTTGGGTGTTTGTCAATATATCCGAGTATCCCATTTAAGTACAGTGTATGTATGGGAAACACTGCTGATACTAAGACTTCATATATATGATAGATGATTAGTAGTAACATTGACTAAAGTAAGTGAAACCTGCAAGTTACTTTAAACAGTCAAAAACCCAAAACTCACTCTGCTGACTTCATACTCAAATGTGGTGTCCTTTAAAGCTCCAAAATCGCCCCTTTCTTCCTCTGACAAGTGCGTCAGAGTTATGCTAATAAATTGCAATTAGACAAACAACAAATTAAAAAAAGAAACTCTGGAGAAAATAAAAGAATTATATTGACACATCATCATAGAAATAATACGAATAAGATTAAAATAAAATGAATAAAGAAACGTTGGATAAAGTACACTAAGAAGGCGAGACATGACAGAATAACATGTAAAGTATTCAATAAGCTCTAATTGGTTAGTAAAGTAATGCTCTGGTAGGTGGAATGTAAAGAATGTAAAGTTGGTAATTAAAAATAAAGTAAATGTGATCTCTATACAGTGTCCTTATATTTGAGATGAGGTAAGATTTCAACAAGATTGGTTTCTTTTCTGCTACAGGAGAGAGAGGAGGACCAGCGAACACTCGCCCTGACGTGGGAGTGTCTGCGTCTCCTTGGTAACACTCTAGTAGCTCTCAGCGACCTGCGATTGAACCTAATGAGTCCCGTCCCCCGTCACCTGCATGTAGTCCGGCCATTTTCTCATTACACCAACCCGGTGTCCCTTCCTGGAGCTATGCACCACCACATCCCAGTGCAAGTAAGTGGATGGAAG